TACCAGGTCTCTTGTGCCGTGACTTTTTGACAGCATCGCCCCTATGCCTGTGTTTGATGTGTCAAACTCTCACACAAAAGGAAGACTGGGGTGGTGCTGTATGGGAACAGAGGTACATCATAACTTGAGATCTTGGAATGCCGGGGTGGCTGCTGCGGACCATCTAAGCCTGAGACTTTTAGCATGGAAGTGATGGGGGCTATGATGAAGCTAAAATACCTGATGAACCAGCAGTAGAAGACCAGGAATGATGTAGCCAAGGAATGCTACTGATGACTGGTGGAATTCACACTTTTCTGCCTTGGCATTTAGAAGAAGCATTGTAGAACCGCTCTGATGTGGGACATGTGTTCTTCTAAAGAGCTGGCGTAAATCTGGATATCATTGATATATACAATTACCCAATGATTGAGCATGAACACATCGTTGATGAATGTCTGGAAAACTGATGGACTATTAAGTCTGAAAGGCATGACCATGTACTTGTATTTTCCGGTGGTAGGGGGTTTGTGAAAATGAATGAGATTGTTAACTCGAATTGTCAAGTCCTTCCCTCATTTTAGCTGTTAGAAAGTTAGAAAACTTTAGCTGGTATAGTGCAGGATGTTAGCCCAGAAACATTGAGCACTGCACAAATAAACCTGCATTTAGACGGATTACTGTCACATTTCTCAGGGAAAGAGAGCCGGGGTTGGCAGTAGTTGCTGGGTGTGACAATATAATGGGAGTTCACATTTGTGCCGATTCCGTGAGGGTAGTCAAATGGTTTATGTTTAGCCAAATTGGTCGCCTGGGAATATAATCCAGTAGAAAGCTGTTGGAAAGACACTGGATCAGTTGTTGGCAGAGCCTTCTGTGATGCAGACTCAGAAATTTTGTCAAACAGCATTGGGAGAATTCAGCAAATGAGAGGAAAAAAAACAGGCAATGGTCAGGGCAGGCAGCGAACAATCAGTAATCCAGATAAACAAGCCTGAGAGTAAGTAGGCAGGCAGCAAACAATTGTACAACAGGGAGACAACAGTCCAAGATCAACAAACCAGGAGTATCAAAACAATAGAAACGTACAGAATTGTTCAATCTTTTAAAATGCAATCAAGAGTAAATGTCAGCAGTATCATATAGGTCTAAAGACTTAAAGTCTGTCAGGTAAAACAAAATCTTATTGATGCTGTTCATTTCAGTCAGTCTGCTATTTTATTCAAACCTTTAGTCCTGTTTGGAGGCTTCCGTTAATATTCGTTTATACCTTTCCGCTTTAACTAAGTTTAATGGTGCAATGCAAAATGTTTAGTACTGTGTAAGTTGTAACTTAGTGCCTATTTATGTCAAAACTAGGCTAAGAGCTTCAGAGTTCACAGTGTAACAATTCTATTCAATTCAATGTGACAAGTTAGGTCAAAAGTAATCTAAAAGTCATCAAAACGTAGTCTGATTATATTGCTTAAAATGTGTAATGTAATGGACTACTGTAAAAAAAAATTGTAATTTGAAATCAGTAACTGACTACAATTTATAATCTACTCAGCACTGTATACATTGATACACTGTAACAAAAAATAATTTTAATGGTAATAGTAAGTTCCCTTAAAATATATCTAATAATTTTTTTTTTTTTTTGGAAATGAAAACAAACAAACAAAAAAAAAACTTAAATTGGCCTTTCCCGGAATTCCCGTGTAACTTCAAATTTGATGTTTTTATAATAATTTATAATTATAGTTTCTTTTTTTTATCAGTTATGTGGTGTTATGTTGCATATAATGTTGTTGTTGAATGAATGAATGAATGAATGAAACCTCCACTTGGATGATGCGACGGCAGCCATATTACGTGCGCTCACAACACACCAGCTAATGGTGGAGAGATGAGAGATGGTGATTACTGAAATGTTCTTTTATATCCATGCATGATGTTGCATGAGTAACACAGCCTTTGTTTAATTCAATCACAATAAAATGGCATTTCACATAAAATGGAAATGGAAAAAGCTGGCTTGTGATTAAATAAACAAAAAGCCTTGGGGTTATTGCAACCAAAATCAAACCTCGAAAACAAAAATAGTTTTCTGGCAAGGTACTGAATGATTCTGGAATGCTGCTTCAGTGTCACGGTGTGGGTTTTGTGTCTTGTTCCTTGTTCTTGTCTGTCATGTGATTCCCTGCTGTCATGTGGTCCTGGCATGTGTCTTGTCATTTGTTGATTGTCAGGTCATTGTTCGCAGGTGTTCCTTGTCTTGGAATTAGTCAGTGTAATTACCCTGTGTCTTTGTCTGTTTCTTGTCCAGGTTGCCTGTCGTTCCTGTTTCAGTTTCTGCTTCATGCCTTTGTTTTGTATTTTGATTTAGTTATATTATTATATTAAAGTTTGCATTTGGGTCTTACCAGTTTGCCTCCAGCCATTTGTTACACAATGTATATGCAATGAATGATTATTAGGTATTAATTAATATTTTTCCTTCTAAACATCACATAAATTGAATGACTTCTTTAGGCTTGAGAGAGTTTACTTTGTTGTAGGAGTTACCATGTGATTACTGAAATGATCTTTTCATGTCTTCTCTAATGTCTATATTTGTTGTCAGTGCTCGCTAAATTTTCCCTGCTTCCAGAAATGAAATAGCCTATGAACTATTTTGAGTTTGAGAAAGGTATTTAATGTGTTAAAACATATAAGGGTCATAGGTGTCTATAGTCTAGTTTAAAGGGACCATTTCGTATTAAAGCTGTTATATTTAAAGTCCCTGTGAAATCAAAACTGACAACACTGGAGAAAAGTCATTTGCAACTTCCTGTTCACGAGGACTTTAAGTGTCCTCTCCTTGAGAAAAAGAACACAGTATCTTGATGTTTTGAGAGGACTCTCTTGTTAGAGCCTGGCCAAATAAAACCTTGGAAAAGCTGTGTGTGTGTGTGTGTGTGTGTGTGTTAGTCTTCTTGTTAGAGCCTGGCCAAATAAAACCTTGGAAAAGCTGTGTGTGTGTGTGTGTGTGTGTGTGTGTGTGTGTGTTAGTCCTCTAGCTAAAGGTTAAGGAAGAACTGTATTAATGGAAATTGACTTATTGTTCTGGACAGGCTGGATCTTCACGACGTGCCTAACTTCAGGGTCCAAGTGTGTGTCAGCCGCATAAATGATGGAGATATGCTTCATTCAGAAATTACTATGTTTACCTTTCTTAGCAAATCAGAAGCATTCAACCTGCAACAAGGACATAGTTTAGACCTTGGTGAAGGGTTTAACTGCTGTGATCTTTGTAAAGTGGAGCGGCCTAAGAACTCCATGTGAGTCTTGAAGCTGACTTCAACATGATGAAAATGCAAACTATCTTCAGTAAATCTTTTCTTTAATTTATTATAATTTTGACTCTGGGTCTTCATGACTATAAATCCCCTTACGGTATTAATGTGGAAGATGTATTACAAAAATATTAGCGAGCAGACTCCTTTTCAGAATAGTCATATAAATTACTTGTATATTTTGAAAGAAATTTGATTAAATTTGCCAAGAAGCATGTGTGATTATTATGATAGTGGAATGGCAATGAAATCTTTTTAATTGCTGCACAATCTTTTCATTGCTGCACAGATTTGCCTCACGGCCACATATACCGAGGGGAAATGTGTTGTCCATTGTATAATATGGTTCATTTAAAATTGAGTCAAACATTTCAAATTCTTTCCAATTAAAGGTCCACGTGAATTTTAGGGTTAGAAAACCTTAAGTGAAACTCCCTGTAGCCTACTTAAAATAAGCAACTGTTCATTTGCCTTGGGCTGTATAGAGCTGATGGGAACAACAACCACCAACATTTAGCCTAACATAATTGCGTTTTTTGTTTGTTTTTTTTGTTTTTTTAAACAGAGTGTTATTGATTGTGTTACACTCTTTTGTTTAATCCGGAAAAGCAGAAAAATCCTTACTGTGATTTATAAAGAAACAGGCATGAATGAATGCCCATTTCATTCATTCATGCCTGTTTCTTTATAAATTACAGTATGGATTTTTCTCCTTTAAACAAATGAGTGTAACACAATCATTAACAATCTGTTTTTTTTTTTTTTTTTTACGCAATTATGTTAACTGTTGGTGGTTGTTCCCATCCGCTCTATACAGCCCAAGGCAAATGAATGCTCCCAGAAATCACACTCAAAGTGGTTCTTAGAAAACCCTTCATCAGTAATTGTTGATGCAGACCATGGCAATTGGCTTTATGCCTAGCTGCACTACTTCCTGAACTTCAGCCAGCTCCTTGTTTCCTGTCTGCTATTATTGGCCAAATTGATTAATTCAGGTGTGTCTGATTATTGTTGCCATGACTACTGTATGGAGGTCAAGCACACCTGAATTAATCAATTTGACCAATAATGGCAGACAGGAAACAAGGAGCTGGCTGAAGTTCAGGAAGTAGTGCAGCTGGGCATAAAGCCCATACTGCCAGTGAAGCTGTCATCACATGGGCTACTATGGAAAGGGGGGAATGCACTGCATTGCTATGAAGCTTCTCACGAACAAGGACACAGCACACTCTATGATGTTATTACTGCATATACCGTTTAATGTACAACTGAGGTGCAAAAAGTATCTGCTGCTACTATTTATATAAGTAAGGCTAAACTTGTTTGATGCTAGCCTAGCCTAGCCTAGCCTACTCATAAATACTGGCAGAAATATTTGCACTTATTGCAAATAACTGCCACTTTTATATAGTAAACAAAATCTATCGCTATTTTCACTTTGTAAGCAAGGCCTATCGCCAGTGTTGTGCCTGAACCCGGCCGTTCAATGAAACGATAGTTCATGAACTCGTTCATAGAACGTGAACGCGTTCATTCTGGTGTCTGTGAACGCACGCTCTCTCAGTTTATCTTCGTACAGTCGGGTGCCAGATTTGTATATAGCCTTCCAGACGAAAACCCGGCTAAAAAACACATAAAGGGGTTTTATGTAGCGAAAAAACATCCAATCTGGCAACACTAGCCCGTGTCGCACCCAGGTCGCACCGCGACATCAAGACAAGAAGCAGCATGTGGTTGACAAATCATCGAGCGAGGAGGCGTCTATGATCATTTAAACGAGTTTTATAACAAGGTCGGTGAAGATGATAAAAATCTTACATTTCATTACTGTCTGTGGTTGTCTCTATGGGTTGTAAATGGGCTCTGGCAATTATAAAAAAGAAGAAGAAGCAGCTCGCAGCAACATATGGGAAAAACAACGACAGGGTGATTCTTCAATTAGGGGAACTTTTATGTCCCCAGGTTATACATTCATGTTAAAAATACAATATTATAAAATAAACAGTTTATTTATTTAAAATTATATTTGTTGTACCACGAAAAAATGTTATACACAAAAATCAGTATGATTTCCATTTTTAAAATTATTTTCATCACTAATATTTGGCTATTCAGGCCTTGTCCCCAACCCAGACTTCAAAACTTGTCTGCTCTGAAAATGTGATAAAATGTAATCAGTTCATTAAACAATTACAATATATGTTTAAACAGTAACTTTAAAAGGCACTTGATGCATAATTCGGGTTAATATCTGTGCAATTTGTGAATATTTTTAACAATTTAGTATTGTCCACAACAATACTGTCATTACCGCAACAGTCTATAATTACAACAAAGATATTTCTGAGGGTGAGACTTGTTTATCCCGTAACCATGGAAATGAAGACTAGAAGTGGAGCACATGTCAGCCATGAAAGAACAGTGAAATTTGATGTCTGAAAAAGTAAGTTATTTAATCTTGAATTCTTTCTGATCATGGAGTAGACTTATTCAGCGTCATTACCATAAATGTTGTAGCAGCAATATTTTGATACATTTATATATACATTCACGTGATTTATGTGTATTTAAAGTTTTTTGTACTAGCTGTTGAGTAATGTTAGCAAAACCATGACCTAGCATCTTTTTTTCCTGAAAAAAATTAAAAATATCATTACCGCAACACGTCATTACCAACACACAACTTGTTGTGATGGTAATGACAAGTGATGGTGGTAATGACATGTTCCGTGTCACTATCTATATCATATTGTGTGTTTATTAATTAAGTTAAAGAAGCATAATACTGTGGTTTTACAGTGAAACTTAAGTGATAGGTCTTACTTCATAAAACAATTTTTTCTTATTTTTTTTAACCAGAATGGCTTCCAAGAAATCAACAGAAAGGTCTAGAGATTATAGAAAAAAATTGAAGGGAGATCCTGTAAAATATCAGCAGTATGTTTACAGAGAAAAAGAAAGATACAAAAGAAGAAAAGAAACAGGAAAGCTTAAAGTAATCTCACACTTTAAGGCATTTTTCCACTACACAGTACCAGCTCGACGGTGTTAGGCCTACCACTCATAAGCAGTGTGGAACCTGTGTTAGGCTGGGTCCATACGTTGCGGTCCCTACAGTGACGGGAGTGTGTGATGCAAATCACGCACGCCAATTACATTGGCTCGTTCAATAGTACTCGAAGAACATAGGCTCTCTGGCGCGATCCCCATTCAGTCAACAGTCGACAACCCTCCTTCAGGGAACGGTGGGTTGCATACGCAACCAGGGCGATTTCTTTTAACAACACTCACCAAAAGTCATTATTTTAAGCCTTTAAATTTGCTTTACGTATCAGTGCACTTTTCATTTATGTCATTACCAAAACACTATGTCATTACCAGAACAGTATGTCATTACCGCCACGTTGCTTAATTTACAGCAAATGTACCTTTAAAAATGTTTTATGTTCAATCCTGAGGTGCTACATGAAAAGCCTAATAAAATACTCATTCACCTATTCAAAGAAAAAACATCTAAAATTAATTTTCCAGAAATTAAACAAAAGTGTGCTTTGACGAACACAGAAAAATACGTTTTTATGGTAAGAACAAGAAAATATCCATAATTCGCTGAGTGGAAACATTTTGTTTTTTATACGCATTGTTAAAGGTTAAAACTATTTGCAAGATAAATTAGTTTAAATGATCTCCTTGATACATTCTGTGCGTTATAAGACTTTTTGATGTTGTGATGGGAATGACATTTTGAAGTGCCAGTTGACAAATAGATATAAAATACTCAAATAATATTTAAGCTCAGTTGCGGCCATTATTATATCTTTACATCAAAACATGTAAACATTGTCTTGACATAATTCTAACAAAATTTAACCAAATTTCATTAATCAAAATCTAAGATGGCAAAATAGCCCCCAATTGAAGAATCACCCGACAATGAACTAGTTAATTTTTTGAAGTATAAACTATGAATTGACCTAGTTACAATTTGTGAACTGAACTTTAAACTAGTTAATGTAGAAAAAAACTTTCTCAACACTACCTATCGCTAAGAAAATGCTGCTATTTTCACTTGGTGTAAATCTACAGCTAAGAAAATCTGCTATTTTCACTTGGTGTGAGCATCTATCACGCACTTGTACATAATACAAGTTGTACATGCACACAGTGTGTGTGTGTGTGTGTGTGTGTGTGTGTGTGTGTGTGTGTGTGTGTGTGTGAGCGTGTATGCGCGTGTGTGTACACTTCCCTCTTCTACTATGAGCTCTTGAAAGTGCTCAAGGCACTTGGCTAAAGTGTATATCCATATATTTGATACAGTATCACAGACAGAGTTTAAAAGAGAACCAAAATATGGGAACACTTTGATGAAGAGGTCTGTGCCCCGCCCCGGTCCTGAGGAAAGGTCCAGGATATCGAGCACAATCGTTGCGACGATCTAAAACAGTTTCAGGCACTCAACCTTATTGCATCTGTATTCACGTGTGCGCTCAAATGAATTAAACACAAAACCACTTAATGTATTACAGACCAAACATTCTCCACTTTATGCACCAAAAATCAGGTTTACAGTGTTTCCTAGAAACATCACTAAGCTCAGGCTCGTTTCCTGTGGTAACAGTACACGGTTTACACATTCATAGTGATTCTTGACATGAAATTTTTAATTAGTTCACATTTTGTTCAGGCAATTTCCTCTCATGGAGTCACCTTTACAGAGTGTTTTTGTCTCTAGGTGTTGACTTTTTAATTAGCCCTCATTATAAATTTAAAATGATAAATTCATAGACAAATCTGCTGCTGTGTGTTGCACTGAAGGGATGCTATGAAATTGCAAGGCAGTTTTTAAATGAAGAGTTCAGATGCAAAAGCCTCTAAGTGCCATTTGAAATTTTCTTCTAGAATGATCATTTTTATCAAGCTTGTATATTTAAGTTCAGTAATTTCACTTAAATGGCAATGAAGATTACCTAAATGTCATTTAAGTGAAATTACTGAACTTAAATATACAAGTGTGATAAAAATGATCATTCTAGAAGAAAATTTCAAATGGCACTTAGAGGCTTTTGCATCTGAACTCTTCAAATATCAAACCTTTTTTGTCCAGTTTTCCACTGCAATCAAACGAGGAAATGGAACAAATTACTTTATATCCGGATTTCAGTAACAGAAGTTGTTTATAAAATGGGGTAACCATTTTCCATCCAAATCCTCTCTCTTTTCAGAGGAACAATGGCTGGCATTGTGAAGACTATATGTCCAATAGAGTTGTTGTTGTTCTATACAGACACGCACACAATTTGCCATACTATTTCTCCATACCGGTGAATAAAATTTACATTTTTTTATTTATATGTACAGACTATTTAAAAATTGTATACATCACCAAAATGATTAAAGAAGTCAACATAAAACATAATATCAAAAACGAGTATACACATTTACACTGACATCAAAAACAAGAGTTGTGTTTCAAACACAAAGCATTGATCTAATTAAAACATAATTAAGAATAGTATACAAGAACCATTTTCAATGACTTTACAAGGCAAAATAATTGTTTAAATAACGTAAAACAAGCTAGTCTCTCGTATAGACAATGTGACACAGTTATGGACTATGGTCACAACTGGCTGTAACACACACAGGAAGATAAAGATCCAAGACAGGCTTTAGCAGCAAATACTTTAAAAACTACTTTAGTAAAACGAAACATAAGCAAACACAATCGTAACATTGACAAGACCTGACAATACTGAAAACTGAAACAAGGGAACTTACACAGGTAAATGAGAATAACTAAAGACACACCTGAACCGAATAACAAATCACATTAGTGTCCACGACAGACAAAGTAAAACGAACACAAAGTCCAAACAAAGGGAAATTGACACTTATGAGGAAATATAGGTAACATACAGACATTTTTTTTATAGTTAACTAAGACCATAAAAAAATCAGCACTGTTTGTGAAACATTTTCATAGTTTAACTTAATGAACTAAAATAAATAAAACAAAAAAGTGTTGTCATAACAGGAATAGATTACTTTTTAAAATATATTAAAATAGAAACAGTTATTTCTAATTTAACACATTTTTACTGTATTTTTCATCAATTGGTTAGCAAAAGAGACTTTCAAAAACAATATATATATATATGAAACACACCTGGTTACATGGTGTTGACGAGCTGGGGATATGATGGCAGACATCGTGAACAATGTTTCTATGTGCAGTTTGTCAACATATAACATAAGACATCATCTTTTTGTCTAATGACTGCGCCTAACATTAGTCGTTCGCGGTCAAAACACTGTGGTGTAAACAGTTTGATGTCGGGATATTCACTGCCCAGAGCCTGTTAAACTAAAGCCAACCAACCCCGTGACGTCACATGTTAGAATACTGCACAACGGCGGCGAAAGATATAACGTTTTTTTCTTTTTTCTTTTATATGTTTACATTTGTCATGTTTCTTATATAATTGTTGATTATAGTGGAGATCCATCTTGTAAAACATGCAGTGGTGGAGGAAGTACTGAATCTCAGTACTTAAGTAAAAGTACAAATAACCAGATAAATATTTACTTTAGTAAAAGTAGAAGTAACACAATGACAACCACTTAAGTAAAAAAGTACCTGATTTTAAATGTACTTTAAGTATTAAAAGTAAAAGTACTTGCATAACAATTGATTCTCTTAATGACCATTTTCTAATAATTAATAAAACATTTAATTCTAACTCATTCAACCTAATACTCCTATAATGATGTTCAATAATGATGGAAAAAAATTGTTGTCACCATTTCTGAAACAAGCTTGCAATTAGGCAATATAAACCATGCGCGATTAATTTATGGTGTAATTCTGAACCTCTTTGCTTGCCACAAAATTTTTTTTTTTTAAATGAGGCAAAAAAAAAAATACACACGGTGTGTTTCCTAATTTTCGCGTATAAATTGCACGATAAACACACTGCGTGCGAGACGCATTTAGTTGATGTGGCAACCAAACATCACTGGTGAGACAAACGTGCAACGAACGGACGGTCAGATTACGTTTTGGCAGGGAAAAAACTGATCAGGAAATGTAATGAAAATGTAACAGAAGTTGTAGAAATGTAGTGGAGTAGAAAGTAGAATAATTGCTGCAAAATGTAACGAAGTAGAAGTAAAAAGTATGCACTATTTAAAGTAAAGATACGTGAAAAATGTACTTAAGTAAAGTAACAAAGTATTTGTACTTCGTTACATTCCACCACTGAAAACATGTAAACTTGATTGACAGCTTCATTTCCCCTTTAAATGTCTCATTTAAGTTATTAATACTGTTGTTCAGAATGTATTTAACTTATGAAAAAGTTTTTTTTTTTTTTTAAACTGCTCTTCCACTTGTTAGGATAACTTCAAATAGGACTAAGCAGTGACCTTGAAATTTAGGAAATTGTAGGTTGTTCTCTAATTTTGATCTCCACTTTATATCGTACCAACCGCAAACTTTCCAAAGCCCTATTTTACAGAAAACAAAAGGTACAACTGAAAGGTAGTAAATCACTGTGATGTAAAAGTGTTGCTAATTGGGTTGCGTGTCATATCTCTTTCACTGCACAGAAATATGACAAGGAAAATGTGCAATCACAGATCCATTGAAACCCACGGACTCTTTTCAGCTGTATGTTCATTATAGACACAAACGTGTCTGCAGTTTCCCAGGATTTCTAGTGAGATAATAGTTTCAGGGTAATGCCACGGTAACTGGCAACAGCTCCCGAGAGGACTGAGACTGCTGAACAGCGTCAGGGGCCAAACGAAGACTGACGCTTCCGTCAGCCGTTCCCGGATCAGCCCGGAAGTCTTTGTGCACTGGCCGGATGGCTACGATGAATTGTCTTTTGAAGGTCTCACTGAGAATGATGTAGAGAAGCGGGTTAATGCAACTGTTGGCGTAGCCCATGCTAATGGCGATGTTATAGGCGTAGATGAAGGCGTAACTGGGCCGTTGCACGCTCAGATGTGCCAGTTGCAAGATGTAATGAGGCGCCCAGCAAATAAAGAACGCCAGGCATATGGCGACGGCCATCCGAGTGACCTTTCTGGTGCGCAAGCGAAGACTGTGCTGGGGAAGTGGGGCAACCGTGGCCGCCATGTTCTGGAGGATCTTGAAAAAAACCACGCAAATGATCACCAATGGCAAAGCGAACGCCAGCACGAACTGGTAGAGAGTAAACCAGTAGGTGTCTGTAGCCGGATTAGGAAGGAGCAGAGCGCATCCTACTGAACCGCTTCGCAGAGGCATGAGGCCGGCGTACATCCAAACCGGTGTGATGGACAGCAGCGAGAGGATCCACACCAGGCTAACGACCGCCACGGCCACGCATGGAGTGCGAATGTGGTTGAAGCGGATGGGATGAACTGTCGCCAAGTATCGGTCCAACGTCATGACTGTTAAAATGTAGGTGCTCACGATCTGGCTGTTGGAGTCCAGCGCTGTGATGACGGTGCACATGGTGGCACCGAAACACCAGGAACCGTTTCCCACCAGCTGGTGGATGAGGAACGGCATGCCTAGGAGAAACAGAAGGTCTGCGATGGATAGACTGAAGATGAAGATGTCAGGCACTGTCTGTTGCGCCCTGAACTTTGTCTTTTTCACAATGGTGTAGATGACAATGCAGTTGCCTATAATGCCGACAAAGCAGATGACACCATAAATGCTAGGCATGAGAACATTGTGATACTCTTCGTCAGTGTCTGCAAGAAACAAAAGAGAGATTTTAGTGCTTTTGGTTTTCCGTATTATCAAAGTACATTTAAAATACATGCTTTTATCTATATCTATTTTTAGTTTCAAAAGTTGTACACGTAACATTTTCGGCAATGCATTAAATTGACAGTAGAGACATTTATAATGTTACAAAAGATTTCAATTTATTCTGATTTTTTTTTTATTCATCAGAGAATCCCAAAAACATTTGATCTGTAACATGTTGGAGCACAGGAGGGAGAGACGTGGATCTAAATGCAGTAGTTTTTGGTAAAATTAACAAAACAAACTAAGCAAGGAAACCAGGACTGGAAGCAACCATTCCATGTACAACAACTGAGACACAAGGGCTAATACACAGAGGCGAACAAGCTTAACAAGACAAACCTGGAAAGACAATCAAGGGGGAAAGCTACAGAGGACTACAACATGACAAGACAGGAAGTAACACAAAAGTCCAAGGACTAAGCATCACAACTGTTTTCTACATTAATAACAATCAGAAATGTTTATTGAGCACGAAATCATCATATCAGAATGATTTCTGAAGGATCATGTGACACTGAAGACTGGAGTAAGGATGCTGAAAATTCATTTATGTAATATATGTTTTAAATTGTAATAATATTTCCCAGTATTACTCTTTTTACTGTAGTTTTGATCAAGTAAATGCAGCCTTGTTGAGCAGAATAGTCCAGTCATTTTAAGCCAAAATGGGGGTCAGCCTAGGACAAATTACAACAGAAACAAACTCAACTGATTTTGTATCCTATCCACTTTTTACAATACAGATTGTATCAAATCAACTTCACAGTGATAACATGAAAATAATACAACACAAATCAATAGTATTGTTGAATATTAAATGTCCCCAACTAAGCAAGCCAAAAGCCAAGGCAACAGTGACAAGGAATCAAAACTCCATCAGGTGACAGAATGGAGAAAAAAACCTTGGGAGAACCCAGGCTCAGTTGGGGGCCAGTTCTCCTCTGGCCAACGAAGGAACAGTGTGATTCGGGCAGCATTACAAGTCAAATTGGATTGGAACATTAAGAGTATTGATCAATTTCCATCTGTTTCCATCTCTTTTGAAGTAATCACGCCAGTATGGAGACGAGATGTTGAGGATCAGTGCCGATGGCTGTCGTGTTGATGAGGCCAGCACTTAAGGATGAGTCGGAATGGGTCCAGGTGAATATGTCCCGAGTAAGGGGAAAATAACCCTCCAAAGAATCCCATTAGGGGAAGTTTAGGAAAAGACCCAAAATAGCCTATTCATTCTTTTTCTCATGTGAATAGGCAAAAAATGTTTACCTTATATCACCATGAAAATGACTGAGTTGATAATTTACATTAAGACAAACAAAAATGTATTACACGTTTTTTTTTATTCTTTGGTAAGATAAACAAACGGTGCATAATAATGTATCCGTTCATTTGCAACATATCTAAACATTGGATATAGCAGGATGAAAATGTCTTGTAGAATCTTGTTGACATCTTACAGTAAAAGACTATAGAGGCAAACAAATGTCACCATAAGGTAGTGTTGTAGTATACTCGAGACCGAAAGTCTCGTCTCAGACTCGACCGCTTTTGGTCTCGGCCTTGTCTCGGACATTGAGGACTCAGGATTTTTTTTCAAGACCATAACTGTGAAAATATCACTAATTTGCCAGTACATTGACTATTTTTTGTTAACATCCTTGCTTTTATTGTATGTAAAACGTACTAATTTAAATCCAAGCAATGGACTTGGCTCATTGGGCATTGCTAATTATGTGTTTTTATTACCGCTGCCTGTCACCCATGTATTCATGTTCATGTATTGTTAATAAAAGGCAGAGAAAAGTGAAGAAAGTGTACTAAATGATAGAAGTCACCCAGTAGTTTTGAATAAAGATGGTTTATTTCAGCTTTGAGTGTTAAATATCTCTGATTTTATGGGAATGTGGATCTTTCACATCAATCTGAGAAGATTTCAGATCACTGCTATCCTTCACTGCTAACATGCGAGCTGTTCCTCTGTATTGAGTCAAGGAAGAACACAAAGATGCCTCACATGTGGAACAACAAGGCTAAAAAAAGAACGGCTCGGCCCAGACATACAGTATGTAAGCTTAACTTGTTCTTACACGCAGTTCTGGGATGTGACACTACATCTAGCCAACCTGGGATTGGGAAAGGAGCATTGCTCAAGAAATTCGAAGAAAGTGACATGTTTCGAGAGCAAGCTGAGGTGTTCTATGAACATTAATCTTCTACGGTGATTCTCTACAATGGAATATCTACAGAAACCCAGACTCCCTCCCGTTCTGTGAGAAGTGGCATCCAGTTCCCCATCCAGCTGACATCATGGGGCAGCAAAATACCACAGCATGCGAGTGTACTTAGGGAATCAACATCTGGTACATTTCAACTTTACTGAAACTCCGTTCTATGTTTATTGTGTCATTTTGCATCTTGTGTACGTCATTGCTGCTGTGACAATATCAACATCTCCTGCATGAGGTTAATAAAGTGTATTTTATTATCTTATATACACTTTCAGATGGACGTTTTCCTATGGAGTGGGGATGGCACAAGTGTGGCGAGGGATTTGTGCTAATTAAGACAACCCTACCTCCTGAGAAGCTCATGAAGGTCATAAGGTGCAGCGGCCAGTCTGACCGCAGCACCCTGAGATGAAACAATATAGAATGAGTCAACTGCCTGTGGACACTGCAGGGGAGTGAGCTGCACAAACTCAATGCAGATGGCCTGTGATGAAAATGAAGATGAGATTCTCTAGTGGTGCATTGTGTACGTAATTTGATTGTTTGATCCAGCCACTTTTTATTTCACTCACCTTTTGTCTTCTGCATTCTCCTTACCCTTGTCTCCTGTTCTTCCCTCAGACTCATCCCCCAGAAACAGTCCCACGGATCCAGCCCCAACCCCCATCTCTTTAATAATAATTCATAAACGCTGGTTTAAAGTACTCATTCCTGCCTCTATGTATTAATTCTCATGGGTAGCCTAAATTCAGACCTTAACATTAAGTATTTACTGTTATAGACCATTTTGCAAGATGTAAACAACACTGGTCCAGAAACACTTCCTGTTTCAGTTTTTTAACACTACATAAAAGCTGGGAAAAAATACAACCAACAGAACATATAAAACTGAAACAAAAAGTTAAACAACATCTTTAAAATGTTTTCTTTATATGTGAAATAAAGAAAACAGTTACAAACTGAAACAGGAAGTGTTTCTGGACCGATGTTGTTTAGATCTTGCAAAATGGTCTACAATATGTAAACAAAATTCAACAAGACATTTTCACCTGGCTATTACCAATGTTTAGATCTGTTGTGGTATTTATGCAAATCAGCACAACATGCGTAATTGGATTATGCACTGTTTGTGCATGTTTGTCTTGATGTAAGTAATCAACTCAGTAATTTATAGGCTATCTAAAGGTTTTTAAAAAAAGAATGAATATGCATGTGAATAGGCTATTTGGGTCTTTTTCTAAACTTTCCCCTAATGGGATTCTTCTGGGTTTTTTTCCCCTTACTCGGGACATAATGAGGATACAAAATCAGTTGAGTTTGCTTCTGTTTGCAATCTGTCCAACTTTTTTTTTTTTAATAAAATGATTAGTAGAGAGTTCTTTCAAAAGCACAAAGAAATATACCAACCCCAAACTTTTTTTAAACGAATATTGAACTCTTGAAATTTACCAAATGTTTTTATTTTATAGACATGTATTTTCAAACAGCTAGTTTTTTTTCTTTGTTCTGAATTCCTATACTGCATATATTCAGTTTTCTATATTCTTAAAAAAAGCATGTTGCTTTAGCAATGTTTATCAGGAATTTCCTGAATAAAGTTCCAACATCATTTAACAGATTTCTTGAAGTGAAACATCTTGTGTTTGTTAGAAAGTGAATGACATGGCTATTTTGTGACATTTAAAGAGATTAAGATATACATAAAGTGAATCTGCAGCTTTAAGGAACAGTTCACCCCAAAATGAAAATTCTGTTATTTACTCTCCCTTATTTTTTCCCAAACCTGTATGAGTTAATATCTTCTGTTGAACACAAAAGAAGACATTTCAAAGAATATTGGCAACCAGACAGTTGACGGCATTGACATCCATAGTATTTTTTTTTTCTGCTACGGCAGTCAATGGATGCCGTCAACTGTCTGGTTGCCAATATTCTTTAAAATATCTTCTTTTGTGTTCAACAGAGTTTAGAACAACTTGAGGGCGAGTAAATGATGACAGAATTTTCATTTCAGGGTGAACTATCCCTACCGAGACATTTTAATTGAAAAAAACATAAGATCTTTTATTTTTCAAGATAAACTCATTGCTTAAATGCTGCACATTTAAACCCGAGATAAACTCGGCTGGAAAAATTGGACACCCATGCCATAGTGCTTTCTTTTGATATTGAGGTATTGACAGATTTTAGACAAATAGAATAAATAAACATAATTTAATGATATTATAATCATAGCCGGAATATTGAATCAAATTGTGTTTGGTATATTAACAGTCTTGAATGTGACTGATAATTGAATTGACTTGTTCTTAAGTAACATTATGCTTTCTTTTTCAGATTTTAGAGAACCCAAAAGGAAAAGAAGCAGCAGTCTGAACTGAACCGTTGGACCTCCTGTAGTTATAATGACAATTGATAGGTTGTAATGCTTTTGTCCTATTTCTACACCGCCTTTAAATGTGGGTGCAAACGTCATATTGAACTAACATCACTTCATAATTCAATGCAATTAATGTTGAGCCGTCAAAATTGACTTAACATTGTCTTCAATGGTTGTTTGCTATCTGTGGTGAGTCATGAGCTACACACAAGCAGAGAACAAAAGATGTATCTAACAAAACATTACACTTAAAACAACTTATATTTTATGGTCTAACCTAATGAAGTCAAATAAATAATATGTTTGACTTGAATAAAGCCAGTTAATTTATCACTTGACACACATTTAGGTTGCTGGACAACTTTTGGATAGCATATTTACCTGCATTTAAATGTTGAGATGAATTAAACTCGTCACTGGAATTGGTGGTTGCATTGAAATCCATCACAAACTTGATCATAAAATAAAAATGCACAGATGTGATTATCAACAGGCAGTCATAAAAGTTCTGATTGTTTCAAACCATATTTTAAGTGACATGAGAATAAATGCTTAAAAGAAATTAATTATTAGTGGTCTTTGTCAGAGAATGTCTGCACCATTGTAGAGACTGTGGGGTAATTCAAGATAGTCTTGCACTCTTAAAAATGCTGGGTTGTTTCACCCCAACTTTGGGACAAATATGGACAAACCCAGCCATAGGGTTACATTTTTTATAAAGTAAAATGGGTTATTTACAAAAATTGAGTTAAAACAACAGTGTAGGCTATATTCAACACCTGTTGAGTTTTTTTTTTTTTTTTTTTTTTTTTGTAAACAGTCAAATCTGCACATCATGAACTTCAAACAGAGCAATGTATCTTTTGGATTTGTTTTTCACCCTTAAGAAATAAGAACAATTGTATTACATTGAATAGATAATGTCAACAAATGGAAATATCTCAGGGTATTTTAATTAATTTATTTTAATTTAATTACTTTTGGCAAAATAGCAAAGCAAATAAAGTCATTTTAGATATAAGACATATTTATAATATCATGCTTACTATTTTTCTCACACTGATTTAATTGGGTCTTTGTGCACACTAAAAAAATGTCAAACCTCACTTTTTGTTTTTTCACAGTGCATGAACATTTATAATAGACTTTCTTTTTAACTAGCATCATTTATAGGCAATCCTAACAATATCAATATAGGCCACCATAGTATTTACATTATACAAGGTACTTCCAAAACATGGTGCTATTATGAATATTATGAGTTATTGGCATGTTGTCTGTCCACAAACACTTTGTGGTACTTTTTCTTAGTGTAAAACAATTACGCATTAAATTATATCTCATTTGCATAAACCTACCTTAATATGAGTATCTCCAGTGGTTAGCCTTTCATTTCTTCGAAACGCATGCCACTAGTTGACAGCTCCTCAAACGCGCTCTACACCGCCGATTTCTGCTTCTACATCGCCAATATGTCTCCAGTTGCTCACTTCACTGCTTCATTGTCCGATGAAGATGTGCCTGCCGCCTGTGATGTTAACGCTCCCATTCATTCCTGATATACAGCAGGACGTTTGGGAGAAAATGAGCCGTGCTGAAAAGAGGTTGTGCGTTGAGCTCGATGTAGCGTCTGATTTGCTGCCTGCAGCTGCTGACGCGAGGAACAACATCCATTTTTGGGCACTTTTTGTACAGAAACGGGAAACTGCACACACAACTGGTTTCAGCAAATAATCTCATTTGCATTTCCAACGCATAATGTGTTCATGTTTTGCTCCACTGTAATTAGTAAGCTGTTTCATCAGGCTGGGTTTGAAGTGTCTATAAAGTGGAAGCATATTTGCGAACGTAGGATTAAATGTTGCCTTTATAATAAAACCTAGAGTGGATGGATTGATCAGCCTACGCGTGAAGCACACATAAGCAGATAATCTAAGCAAAAAGAAACAGCAATTATTGTGTGATAGCATTTTGAATATCTTGAAAAAGTAGGCTACTAAAACGTAATGTTTGTCCAGCTAACAGGGAGCGTTGTCATAACTTCTTATCAGCTTCTTTAACCGTTCAGAAATAACATTTTCCAAACAAAAAACAAAAAAAACAAACAAATATATTTTTTATATCTGGGTATGGATATTCTAATCAGAATGTCATATCAGTTATTCGTTGGTACTACTTTAACAAGTCAGGTGTACATTTTCAAAACTCTTGTTCAAAACCTGATCTCATGCTTTCATTCTAGTTGTACATGTTTTCATTATAATCATTGTTTCAAACACAAGATTTATTGTAATATGAAATGAGAACATTCGGTTTAATCATTGAACACACAACAGTTACGTTTAACAATCGCTTAAAGGAGGCTAGTTCACTTAAAAAAAAAAAAAAAACAATAAAAAAACAACCTTTTGCTGATAATTTACTCACCCCCATGTCATCCAAGATGTCCACGTCTTTCTGTCTTCAGTTGAAAAGAAATTAAGGTTTTTAATGAAAAATTCCTAGATTTTCTCTATATAATGGACTTCATTGGGAACCAAATGACACCAGACGATGAATAAGGATCTATCTGACTAGGACCCTTCGAGTCGTGACTCGAAAAAAAGTTTTGTTCATTTTGATGAACGAGTTTGAACAGGAGAGTCACGAACGCTCATTATAGAATAGAGCAAGGCGAGCATTTGTCCTTATAAAACTTACACTTTTTTTATTTATTTTTTAAACTGAAAGAGGAGAAATGCAAATCAAATGTTTGATAGTAAAAGCTTTATGAAACGTAGTTACTTATTTTGTGTAGTGGAAATTATTCTTGGTGATCTTGTGTATTTTCAATTGTGTAAAATTATTGAAAACATGGCGAAATGTAAATGTTAAAAGGGGACTTTTGATAATAATTTTAGTAGCCTACTAAGACTTGAAAATGTACCAATTGCTTGTGAAAATTGTGCCAAAAACTTTAATGTGATGTAAATGCTTTAACCTGATGCCATACACAGATGTCCCCACTGGTAGTAAAAAAACATAATTTTGGTCTTGTATAGGCCAATGTAGTTGAATATTATTTGTGCATGCGCGCGTGTGTGTGTGTGTGTGTGTGTGTGTGTGTGTGTGTGTATGTGTGTGTGTGACTTGGTACACCCTATCATGGGAACAAAATGTCCCCATAAAGATGATGATATCCAAAATACGTGTCTTTGTTGGGACATTTATTGGCCCCCATGAGGAAAACAACATATTTAGTGATATTTTTTGAATATACAATAATAATTACAAGTATTATTGCTAATAATAATACACTATTTTGATCTTTAAAGTTAATCTGAATAAGTGACGATGATGCAGTTTCAGCCCATGTGGTAAAAATCAATCTTCTAAACGTCTGAGCATCCACAACCAACTATAGAAAATGTTTATTCCTTGTCATATTGAAACGCTCTTAATATTTTACCAAAGGATGGCGCTATGCCGCAGCCAATGGAGCATCACTGTAAAAGTGTGTAATGACACAACTCTTCCACTAGAGGCAGGCGGAAGCTGCACATGCTTTATCGAGGAGGAAACGGAAATAAACAGAAAAATACAGCAATTTTTCACCATTTCAAGTCGGGCGAGGTACAAGAGCACAACCTCACCAACGATTAAAGACCAATTGGAGTGGATTCTAGGTTCATTAAAACGAGAGAGAGAGTATTGGCCCTTACAGTTGTTTACAAGAGTGAGTATATGAAACTTCGGGTTTTCCTCTGACTGCCAGCGTCAGTTTTTTTATGTTAACATGGCCAAAGGCCATAAGGCCTGTGTGCTTTACTATAACGTTACATTATCAATATTCGCTATTATTTATGGTTATGAAACCATCGCTTTAATGCTTCTAGACATGTCAAATGAAACTCAATCTCGTGTGTTATTGTAAAGTTGCTTTACGGGATTTATAAACTAGAACCTTCGGAACTGTAACTTACTGAAATTATTGATGTATCTTCTATAATCGTTTAAGCGATACACAGTTGAATAGTAATACTTAAGAAACTTGAACATTATAGACAGTGAAAGTGAGTTTTATATTGTGTTAGGTTACTTTATGCATAATTGTAAACAGTATTAAGCGTAGCAGTTTTACAATTAATATCTATTTTATTTGAATGTTGTAAACACTGTGTTATTCTATTACACGATGCTAATCGTTTCAATATGTATACAGTTAGACAACAATACGTCAGTGTAAAATGCTTCCTGTTGATTTCCAATCCTCTGCAAGATGTCATTATGAATAAAATGTACAATAACATGTCATATATGCTTTAGAGACAATCCACAGCGGTTCCATTTCCGGTGTCATTTACGCAATTTTCTCCGCAAGAAATATGATCTCGTTAATACATTACAGCTGCTTTGCATAACTGTGTTTACGTTTCGACTTATGTCTGCGCAATCCTTGATATTTGCTCACAGTTTTAAACGAATATTATTCTGTGCACGTTCAATAGCACCATGACGTTATCGAGCCTTGCGTTGTCCAACGCTGAGAAATTCCGAACGTTTATTGGTCGAACACTAGACGGAGCGAAGCCAATTGGGTGTTGATGTCCCTTCTAGGGCTTTGATTGGCCGAGTCCTCTTCGACGCGCTAATCTGATTGGACGGTCCGCTATTCTCGCGGTGCGTAATTGGCCGCTTGAGACGTCAAGCAGACGGGTTTCCTTCCTCTTTATGGGGAGCATTTGCTTTTTAATGCCAGTTGTATCGTGGGGCGCGGCCCATTGAACAATCTAGAACACTAGATCAACACTCTCCTATCTGATTTTCTGAAAGAGTTTATTTTGTTTACAGGGTTCTCGCCGTGATCTTTATGTGAGGATCGCGACGGGAGGAGAGACGCGGGGCTGAGAGAGAGAGAGAGGCAGGTGGACATCCTTGTGTCTTCTTGGATCTGTGCTCATCGTCGCTATTGAGATCTCATTGTCTGGTCCTCTGGTCCACAACAGGGATATAAACTGCATCAGGAGGCATTTTCCACTGCTTTATACCCAACCACACAGGTGTCCGTCAGGCTGAATCATGGAGGCCATTGCCAAGTATGATTTCAAAGCAACTGCAGATGATGAGCTGAGTTTTAAACGTGGAGAAATATTGAAGGTAAGGCAAGATTATTTATATTGTGTATTGTTGTTTATTAATATAAATCCACACGAGCGTGTATTTATGGCTATCAGGATGTGTACAAGTATGTGATTTCCTCATTATTATTGAACTACTGAAACAACACTTTACACATGTTATATTTGGATCTGCATTGTTTGGGTTGTTAGTTATTGATTAGTTGTATTGTTTGATCTTCTGTTCACATTCAAGGAAGTATTATTTGCCATTTAAACGAAATATAATATGTTTATGGTATTGTAAAAAAGGCAGTGCTTTTAAAAATCTTAAATAGAGATTCTGCTTGCCGATTTTTTTTGTCTTTACTAGCAAATGGGCCAATTCCTTCCTTTCTAACTTTTACTGTTACTTTGCTGACATTACTGCTTGCGATCTTAATGTCCTGTTCTCAGAATTTTTTTGGAAATGATTCCAATCCAGTTTGTGTGTATGGGTGTACTTCCAGAAAACACAGATCTGCCAAAGTAAAACAAATCAAAAACCCTCCCGGCTGGTTCCAATGGATGGTTGGTTGGCATCTCTTATCTTATGATATTGTATATTTCAACATATTATATTTCAACACACTGTCAATATGTGCACATGTTTGTGTATATGTTACTTATTTAGCAGATGCCTTTATCTTGGAAAACTTGGAATGGAAAAAATTAAGGAATTTTTAATAAATGAGCTGAAACTGAGGAGGCAAGTAGATATTTTTCAGCATTTGTAGGGCTAATGAATAAAGAGCAAATAAAGACATTAGTTGATTTCAGTGAGTAGTTCCTGTGCATTTCATGGTCACATTATTTCCTCCCTTCTTTTTGTGATATCAGTGTAGTTTCATCCATCAAAACGGCAGCTTCTCCGAATGACTGAATGATTATGTGCGCAAGCACATCATTTCCTCTTGCGTCTGAACGTTAATCTCAAGCGCAGCATCTGTTAATCTGGCCAGACCTCACAGATGTATGTTTTTGTCCAGCTTATGTAAAGCCGTGGTCTTTTGTTCACTCCCTAAGGAGAGTTCGAGCCACCCCTCTTTGAGCTGGATTGCATCATATCAGATGTGTGGAGGAAAGGGCTTGTACTCAAGTGCACGAAGATTTAAATGCAATCATTCTAATCCTTCAGGTTAAATTTGGGGGCATCTTTCGTGCTTCATGCCCGCATAAGCCTCTCATAAGCACGTCAACTGCATCATTCCTTTGATGTGATTACCTGAGACTGACACTATCATCAGGTCTTTGTCTTTGCGATGGGACGGCAAAGAGTCACTAATGAACCACGTCCTGGAGTGGTAAGGAAGAAAACGCATGACATCGGGAAGGATTATGACATAAGCCTGTTCTTCTGTGGGCTTTTTTTTTTCTCGACTTCAGATTATGTTGTTGGATAAAGCATGCAGAACAATAGGGTATTAATGAGATAATTTAATGAGGAATCATGTATGTTCGAATGTGTGTT